ATGCAAGGTGATGCATTTTGGAAGATCCAATTCAAGAGCGAACTATACGGTAAATGGAAAAGCCCTGGGGAAAATTGATGCACAGAGAGATCTGGGTGTTCAGGTCCATTGTACCCTGAAGGTGGCAACGCAGGTCGATAGAGTGGTAAAGGCGGCATATGGCATGCTTTCATTCATCAGACGGGCTATTGAGTACAAGAGTTGGCAGGTCATGTTGCAGTTGTATAGGACTTTGGTTCGACCACATTTGAAATACTGCGTACAGTTCTGGGTGCCACATTACCAAAAGGATGTGGATGCTTTGGAGAGGGTGCAGAGGAGGTTCACCTGGATGTTGCCTGGTATGGAGGGCGCTAGCTATGAAGAGAGGTTGAGTAGATTAGGATTATTTACATTAGAAAGACGGAGGTTGAGGGGGTACCTGATTGAGGTCTACAAAATCATGAGAGGTATAGACAGGGTGGATAGCAAGAAGCTTTTTCCCAGAATAGGGGACTCAATTACTAGGGGTCATGATTTCAAGGTGAGAGGGGAAAAGTTTAAGGGAGATATGCGTGGAAAGTTCTTTACGCAGAGGGTGGTGGGTGCCTGGAACACGTTGCCAGCGGAGGTGGTGGAGGCGGGCACAATAGCATCATATAAGATGTATCTAGACAGATACATGAATGGGCAGGGAGCAGAGGGATACAGATCCTTGGAAAATAGGCGACAAGTTTAGATAGAGGATCTGGATCGGGGCAGGCTTGGAGGGCCAAATGGCCTGTTTCTGTGCTGTAATTTTCTTTGTTCTTTGTTCATATCAGCCATGATCAAATGGCAGAGCGGGCTTCACAGGCCAAATGGTCTAATTCTACTCCTTTATCTTCTGGTGTGTCACTGGTGATCAGTGCAGCAAAGAGTCAGGTTTAAAAATCTACAAGCATTATTTGTTTGCTTTAACTGAGCAAGAGTGGAAAAATAGAGACCCTACAGTGCAGAAAGAGGCCTTTTGCACTGACCCTCCAAAAAGCATCATCAAGACCCTAACCTCATAACCTCGCATTTACCATGGCTAACCCACCTAGCATGCACATCCCTGGACACTACGGACAATTTAGCATCGACAATCCACCTAAACCTGCATATCGTTGGACAGTGGGAGGAAGCCAGAGCACCCGGCGGAAACCCATGCAGACACTGGGAGAATGTGCAAACTTCACACACAAGTAACCCGACGCTGGAAATAAACCTGGGTCCCTAGTGCTGTGAGGCAGCAGTGCTAACCACTGAACTACTGTGCCTCCCATCTAAGATTAGAGCTCAGGAAAATAAAATCCAGGCTGGACGGTCTATACTTTAACACTAGGAGTGGAATAGGTGAGATTGATGATTTAAAGATGTGGATTGACACATGGAAGTGTGATAATGTTGCCATCACAGAAACATAGTTGAGAGAAGGGCAGGACTAACAACTCAACATTTGGGTTATAGGGGTTTTAAGTGAGATAGAGGTGGTTGTAAAAGGGTGGTGGAATAGCACTATTAATTAAAGAGTCATTACTGCAATAAGAAGTGATATCTTGGAAGAGTTTTCAAACAAGGCTTTGTGGATCAAACTTAGGAATGTTAAGGAGGCAGCTACTTTACTGGGAGTATATTATAGGCCCCAAAGAGTCAGTGGGAAATAGAAGAGCAAATATGTACATTGCTCACTAGAGGTGTGTAAAAGTCATAATCAGGTAATTATACTAGAGAATTTCAACTTTTCCAACATAAGTTGAGATAGTCATAGTGTTAAAAGTTTAGAGGGGTAAGATTTCTTGAAATGTATCCGGGGGAGTTTTTTGTTTCAATATGTAGAATGTCCAAGAAGGGATGGCATAGTGCTAGATGTGATTCTGGGGAACAAAGCCAGACAAGTGTTCAATGTGGCAGTGGGGAACATTTTGGTGATAGTGACCATAACACGGCACAGTTCAAATTTGCTATGGACAAGGAGAAAGATGGCCTGCAAAAGATGGCTTTGGGTTAGTAAGGTAGATTCTATTAAAATAAAGCAGAATCTGGCCAAAGTTGACTGGGTACAGCTTCTTGTGTGAGACTCTACAGTGGAGCAGTGGGGCATTCAAAAAGGGAAGAGTACAAGTCCAACATGTACGCTTCAGGGAGAAATTTAGGAGCAAAAAATTCAGAGAACCCAGGATGTCTAGGACAGTTCAGGACTGGAAGAGGAAGAAATGTAAGGCTTTTTGCAAGTCCAGAATGAACAATTCGACTGCAGCCCTAGATGCATATAGGAAGTGCAATAGCGAACTTAAAAAAGCAATTAGAAGATCAAAAAGGGGATATGAGAAAGGACTTGTAAACAGGATAAGAGCGAAACCTAAGTTGTTTTATAAATACATTAAAGGGAATGGGATGAACAGGGAAAGAGTGGGGCCCATTAGGGATAAAGGGAGAAATCTGTGTGTGAAGTTGTAGGATATTGGAAGGCTGTTAAATGAATACTTCTCTTCGGTCTTCACTCTGGAAAAGGAGAACATAGGTATGGAATTCAGAAAAAGGGACTGTGAGGAACTTGCACAGTTTGACATGGGATATGGAGAGGTATTGGTGACTCTGACAGGTTTAAAACAGACAAATTCCCTGGTCCAGATGAATTGCATCCCAGGCTGCTGTGGAAGGCGAGGCAAGAAATTGTAGGGGTTCTGACAAGAAAGTTTTAATTCATTGCTGGCCATAGGGAAAGTGCCAGAGGACTGGAGGATGCTAATGTGGTTCCACTTTTCAAGAAAGGTGGTAGAGATGAACCAAGAAAATATAGACCGGTGGTCAAGAAACTATTGGAGAAAATTCTGAAGGAGCGAATGAATATCCAGTTGGAACGGCATGGATCAGTTAGGGATAGTGAGCATGGCTTTGTCAGAGAGAGGTCATCCTTAATAAATTTGCTGGAATTTTACAAAAATATGGTTAAGTGTGTGGATGGGGGAAGTTTGCTTGATGTACTTTTGGATTTTAGCAAAGTTTTGACCAAGCTCGACATAGGGACTGACTGAAAAGGCTAGAGCACATGGAATTGATGGATACTTGGCAAGATGGATCCGAAAGTGTCTTAGTAATAGGACACAAAACGCAGTGGTGGAAGGTTGTCCGAGGGACTGGAGAGCGGTGTATACTACAAGGATCAGTATTGTTTGTTATATACATAAATGATATTGATGAAAATGTAGTGGGAACATTAAGCAGATTTGCAGATGACACCAAGATTGGTAGGGTGGTTAATAATGAAGAAGATGGTTGTAGGGTACAGGAAGATATATTAGGTGACTTGTTCAGATTGGCAGAGTAGTCGCAATTGTATTTAACCCTGATTAAGTGCGAAGTGATGCACTTTGGAAGAAGGAACAAGATGAGGAAGTATTTAATGAATGGCAGGACACTGAGTAGCTCAGAGGAAGTGAGGGATCGTGGGGTAATTATTCACAGATCCTGAAGTTGGCAGAGCATGCGAATGAGCTAGTTAAGAAGGCATATAGGACACTTGCTTTCATCAATCGTGGCACAGTGTATAAGAGCAAGGAGGTAAATCTGTAGTTGTACAGACATTGGTTAGGCCACAGCTCTGTGCAGTTCTAAGAAGTAGTAAACAGGAATAAGGTGCAGAAAATGAGAGGTTGACTGGTACTAGAGAAGAAAGTAGGTAGGAGCAGGCGAAAAAAGATACCAAGTGATACAAAGGCTGTTTTTGAATGCGTGTTGGCACAGGTATTAATTAGCACAGTTTCACACAGTTTTGTCATAACACAGGTGGTACTTTATTCCCTGACCTCAATAATGTCTGATTTGCGATAGTGTGGTTCTTCATTGATTACCAGCAGTTCAAGGGAATAAATAAAAACCGAAAGAACTATGGATGCTGTAAATCAAGAACAAAAGCAGAAGTCGCTGGAAATGATCAGCTGGTCTGGCAGCATCTGTGAAGAAAAATCAGAGTTAATGTTTCGGGTCCAGCGACCCTTCCTCAGAACTGATGGTAACTAGGAAAACGTAAATTTATATGCAGAAGATAGGGAGGGGAATGGGTAGGGAGTAAATGATAGGATAAAGGATAGAGCCCAAAGAGAGAGAAGAACAGTTGGATAGAGAAAAGAGTTGATAACGATCCAGCTAGGAGGGTGAATAGCTATTAATGGGGACTGTTAGTGACTAACAACAGGTAGTGTGTAATGGCAGGCTATGTGATAGCAAGGCCTGGTTCGTGGGGTAGGGGACTAGGACATGTGAGAGTTTAGGCCCTAAAATTATTGAACTCGATACTGAGTTAAGGGAATAAATGTATGCCAAAACTCAGTATTCCTCAAGTTCCTGTTTTTCAGCTTGTTTTGGCTATTGCCTGCCTAAGTAAAGGCTTGAACAAGTTTTTAAAAACTGCCTCAGGGCACTCAACACCCCGTCAAATGCAGCAGAGAAGCATTCTGATGATTGTTAATTTTCAACTCCAGGGTTGTAGCTGAATTAGATAAAGATCCACAACCTTCCACCTTTAGATAAGCAATCTTATGTACAATGCAAGAAATGTTAAAATTAATCATTTTTGCATATTTTCAGATCTATTTTGGCATTTTACATTAACTTTACTTGTATTTGCCATTCTGTGTGTTTTAAATTCGGGGGTTTTGCTGAAGGCAGTCATTTTCAGGAATGTAGGTCCCATGATAATCAAGGGCTACCTGTAATTAAATTTATAGAGTGGGAAGAACTACAGCGGGATTACCATCAATTTTAGGGTTTTGCTTTGCCATTCAAATCAGTCATCACTTCTCTGGATGACATGCAAGTTAATTTACAATAGCAAGTGGTTACAACAGCATTCATATTAACAGTTTACAGACTAGACCACATGCATTGCTTTTGGCTCTTTTGTCCCAGGTTACTTTGCATGACACTTACTGTATTTTCATCAGTAACTCTTGAACTGTATTTGGACAAAAATATTTTCCTGTTACAATTTCTTTCAGATTGGGAACTCACTTCTGATTGTTTTTGTCAGTTACTTTGGAAGTCGTGTTCACCGACCAAGATTGATTGGAATGGGTGGTCTTCTCCTTAGTTTTGGAGCTTTCTTGCTCACCATTCCTCACTTCATTTCGGAACGTTACGAGTATTCCAAGGCAACAAATGGTAAATCAAATTTTCTGTTTCTTACTGTCTGTATGTACCATATGTACGAGAGTCAATGGAAATATAGACACAGTTGCATGTTTTGGAATTCAATCTAACTGAAAAGAGATGTTGCTGAAGCTTTGACAACATGTTCCACTTCTCGCAGTTATGCATCATGAAAATCTCATTGGCTTTTAAATTGTTTGATTAGGTACCTTGCATCAAAGTGAAATCACGTTAATAATTGGGAGTGGAATACCTTGACATTTTGTTGATGGGTCACCAATCTGTACAATTAACTTTCTTTCTCTCTCTATGGATGTTTCCAGACCCGTTAGTAGTTCAAGCATTTCCTGTTTATGTGTCAGAGTACTCCTAACGCAGACACATCAGTCCTAGTGTAGGTCCTAGCTCAGGCCCAGCGTTCTCACTGCAGGTCCATCACTCCTAGTTAAATGTCAATATTTCCAACTCAAGCCAAATATTCCCAACTGAGGCCTAATATTCCTAGTTCAGTACCAATACTGCTAGCTCAGGTCGAATACTCCTACCTCAGGCCCAATATACTAGTAATGCCAGCTCAGGCCTACACTCCAAAATTAGATCCAATTGAGCTCAGGCTCAATACAACTAGTTCTGGTCCAGCACTTCTGGCTAAGGCTGACTACTTCTAGCTTTAGGCCCAAAACTCCTAGCTCGGTATCAATAATCCTAGCTCAGGCTCAATATATCTAGTGTAGGCCCAGTACTCCTAGCGCAGTATGAATAGACCTAGCTCACGGCCAATGCTCCTAGCTTCAGTCCACTACTCCAAGCTCAGGCCTAGTAGTTGCAGCACTCTGAGCTCAGGTTCAATACCCCTGGCTCTGTCTCAATACTCCTTGCTCAGGACCAGCACTCTTGGTTAATGACTAAAACTTTTTTTATTCTATTCCATTGTATATTCAACGAGCTGCCAGAGGAAGTAGTGGAGGCGGGTACCATTACAACATTTTCATAGAATCCCTACAGTGTGGAAACAACAGGCCATTCGGCCCAACAAATCCACACCGACTCTCCAAAGAGCATCCCATCCATATTCCCCACTCCCCCATCCTATCCCTGCTTTTCCCATGCCCAATCCACCTAACCTGTACATCTTTGGACTATGGCTGGGAACCAGAGCACACAGAGGAAACCCACGCAGACGTGGGGAGAGTGTGCAAACTACACACAGTCGCCCAAGGGTGGAATTGAACCCGGGCCCCTGGCACTGTGAGGCAGCAATGATAACCATTGAGCGTCGTGCTACTCACTTTAAAGGCATCCGGATGGATATTTGAATAGGAAGGGTTTAGAGGCATTTGGGCCAAATGCTGACAAATGCGACCAGGTCAAATTGGGACGTCTGGTCGGTGTGGACGAGTTGGACCAAATAGTCTGTTTTGATGCTGTATGACACTATGACTCTATCTTTTCCGAAGGACATTCTATCCCCTTATGACACAATGTGCCACAACTAAATTTTCTTTTTCTCAACTGCAGTGGTGTTCATAAAATCTCTGAATGAGTGTTCTAATTGTGTAAATCATTAATCTTTAATCTCTTTGAACCTGTAATAAGTCACAAATGTGCGGTTTCATATCTTTTATCTGGGATCAGTAGGGGTGGGTCTCCTTCTGCATTGATAATTAGTTCCCAAAGATTCAAAAAGTGTCTGGTAACTTATTTAGTTCTGGTGTAAATATCATAATAAAAGTTGGAGGTTATTCGGCCCACTGAACCAGGCTGATTTTTTCAAATTGGGATTGTTTTCGCACATCCATCCCCCAATTCTTTTCAGTTCTCCTTAGTTATCTTTTTTCTTCTCTTATTCTAAGTTAATGTAAATGGCGCCAAGTAAAGTACAGTGAAGACACACACTTTTCACTATCTTTTTACATTGAATACATGTAACAATAAATGATTCAATTCAATTCTTTCTCATATAAGGTACAATTTTTTCTTGTCAAATATTCATTCAGTTCCCTTTTGCAAACTCCAGTTGAATTTATTTCAACAATATCAAGCATTGCATTTCAAATCCTAACCACACAACAGAAACCACTTTTATTTATATAGCATTTTTAATGTGATGAAACGTTCCAAGAGCTTCATAGGAACACAAATAAACAATATATGACACACATACTCAAATTAGAACACTTAACCAAGAATTTGATGAAGATGGTATGCAAGGGCCATTTTAGAGGTGAAACAGGAAAGAAGCAGATGGTTCAGGGAAGGGATTCTAGAGGTTTGGTCTCGTCAAGTAAAGGTACCACTGCCAATAGTGATACAGTGGAAATCCAGGAGGCTAGAATTTGAGGAGTGCAGATATTTTGGAGGGATGAGGGGCTGGAAGAGATTAGAGAATTCAGGAGAGATGAGGCTCTGGAAGAATTTGAAAAGAAGTGCAGGAATGTTGAAATTGAAGTGGTGACTGGGAGGGAAGTGCAAACACGGAGGTGAGAAGAGAGCAGGAATTGGTGTGAGGTAGGATGTGAGCAGCAGTGTTTTCAACAACACTGAGTTTGAACATCCAGTCAGTCCCTCGAGCCTCCTGTCCCTTACCTAATCTATGCCCCTGGTCATTGATCTCCCCCATTAATGGGAAAGGGTCCTTCCTGTCTGCCCTACCTTTGCACCTCATAATTTCTTACATTTAAATCATGTCCCTTCTCAATCTCCTGTCCTCTGAGGAAAACAGCCACAGTCTATCTAAACTCTCTTCATAACTGAAACTCTCCAGTGCATGTAACATCCTGGTAAATCTCCTCTGCACCCTCTCCACTGCTATCACATCCCTCCTAGAATGTGGATTCCAGAACTGCACACAATATTCCAGCTGTGGCCTAACTAGCATTTTATACCATTCCAGTGTAACTTCCCCCTGTGCTTTGGTTCATAAAGGCAACTATTTCATATACCTTCTTAACCACTTTATCTACCTATCCCACTATTATAGGGGACTGGTTGATATGCACACCAATGTCCCTCTGATCATTGGTGCTTTCCAGGATCCTACCATTTATTGTGCATTTCCTTACCTTGTTTGTCCTGTCCAAGTGTATCACCTCACACTTATCCAGATTGAATTCCATTTACCACCAATTAGCCCATCTGATCAGCCTGTCTATTTTTTCCTGTAATCTAAGGCTATCCTCTTCACGATATACCACCCCAGCAATTTCTATATCATCCACAAACTTACTGATCAATCCTCCTACATTCAAGTCCAAATACTTTGTATAAACCTCAAACAGCAAAGGTCCTAACAATGATCTTTGTTGGACCTCACTGGACACAGGCTACCAATCACAAAAACATCCCTTGACCATCACCTTCTGCTTTCTGCCACTCAGATCCAATTTGCCAAATTTTCTTGGCTTCCCTGGGCTCTTACCTTTGCTATCTGACTCCCATGTGGGACCTTACCACAAGCCTTGCTGAAGTCCAAGTAGACTACATCAAAAGCATTGCCTTCATCTCCAAGTCAGTCACCTCTTTGAAAAATTCAATCAAGTTGGTCAGACATGACCTCCCCTAACAGAACAATACAGACTTTTCTTGATTAATCCAGGCTATCCAAATGCAGAGTAACTCTATCCTTCAGAATTGCTTCTAATCATATCGCCACAGTCCAGGTTAGACTGACTGCCTGTAGTTCCCTGGTTTATCTCTTGCTCCCTTTCTGAATAATTGGCTGTCTTCCAATCCTGTGGCATCTCCCTAGTGGCCAGAGATGAATTGAAAATTATCCCTAGAATTGTCAGGTTCCACAGCCTTTACTGTATCCAATATCTTCAGTCATTTCTTCATATCATGTGGAGTAACTTAAATTGGTTGAAGACTAGCACCTCTGATAGTGGGGTTGTCTAGAGAAGGCTGAGTTAGGCCATCCACTCAGCACTCCTGGCTGAAGATTGTTGTAAATGTGCCAGTTTTATCTCGTGCAATGATGGTCTGGGCTCCCCTATCACTGAGGATGGGGATATTTGTGGAATCTCCTTCTCTAGTGAGTTATAAGTGGCTGACAACATGAAAGGGGTGTGTGTGTGTGTGCGTGTGTGTGTGTGTGTGTGTGTGAGAGAGAGAGAAGTGCGCAAGTGAGCAGAGGGAAAGGAGAGCAAGAGTGAGAATGATGTGCTGTGATATCCTGGCAGTTTTCCCACAGGCAAGTATTGAAGTGGTTGTGCATACTGAATATTGATAATCGACACTGCCACCATTTACCACTTGAATTATTTATTCAACTGAGGCTGTCAAAACCAATAGATCTTGATGTCTGTGGAGAGGGGTCAGTCTAGTCCTGACAAAGCTGAAGGGATCTTAGCAGCCAGGTTCCCTCGTTCAGGGTGGATTTATGTTTGGCTGCCTGATGTTGATACAATAACTTATTGCAGTGTCCTTGTGCACAGTGGTAGTGTCCCTACCTTTGAGCAAGAAGGCCTGGGTTCAAGTCCCACCTGTACCACAGGTGTCATAACATATCTGAACAGGTTGATTAAAAATATCTCCAATGAGATATTGGTATCAGACAAAGCAGATCATTGAAGGTGACAGGACGGCTGGAGAAAGCAGGAAATAAAGCATGATGTGCTTGGCTTTATTAATAGGGTGTAGAGTACAATGTTGAACTTGTATAAAACACTTGATAGACCTCAGTGGAGGTACTGTATGCAATTCTGGTGCCACATTGTGAAAAGGATGCATTGGAGAGCATGCAGAAGCAATTTACTAGAATTTTGCCACTGGCCAGGCCCAGCATTTGTTGCCCATTGCCCATCTCCCTAATTTGCCCAGACGGCAGTCAAGAGTCAATCACATTGTTGTGGGTCTGGAGTCACATGTAGGCCAGACCAAGTAAGGGCAGTAGTTTCCTTCCCTAAAGGATATTGTGAACTAGATGGTTTCTCATCAGACTCATAATTCAAGATTTTTATTCTGCCAAGGTAGGATTCAAATTCAGGTTCCTGAGAATTTTACCTGTGTCCTAGTGTAGCAATAATACCACTAGGCCAAAGCCTTTCCTGAATGGTTCTGGGAATGAGAAACTTTAGTTATGAGGATAGATTGAAGAAGTTGGGACTCTTCTCCATGGAGAGAAGAAGGCTGAGAGGAGATTTTGGTAGTGGTTTTCAAAATCATGGTGGGCTGGATAGAATATATAGGTGAAGCTGTTTCCACTTGTAAAAGAAGCAAGTATGAGGGTATATGGGCTGTCAAATGAAGCAAGGGTGATGTGAGAAAAAAACTTTATTACATATCAAGTTGTTGTGGAATTCTCTGCCTGGAAATGTAACAGAAACAAGTCCAATTGAGGCATTCAAGAAGACATTGGTTTTGTTTACATTGTAATGCTGTACAGGGATATGGATAAGACAAGCGATTGACATTGGATAATAGAGTCTGTGCAGGTACAATGGACCTCTTCCATCTTCATAACAATTCTGTGATTCTGTGAAATCAACCAGAGAAGACTGTTAGAGATTGTTCAGAGGAAGATTTATCGAGCTGCTCCCAAACAATTCCCTGCCACACAAGTGCACAAATCCATCCCAGTTTCCAAATCAGTTTGTAAGGTAAAAATGTAAAAGAGTAATAAACACTGTGGAAATAAATTATTTTGTCTTTCTTGCAGAAAATGTAAACTATTCCAACATTGACATCTGTCATCCGGAGAACCAGACACAAAGCATGGAAAACTGTACTAAGTTCACAGTACACTCGAACAATATGAGCATTGTATGGGTAATAATTGTCATTGCCCAGCTAATAGTGGGCATTGGGACTGTGCCTATTCAGCCCTTTGGCATTTCATATGTGGATGATTTTGCTAAGCCTTCAAACTCTCCAATATATATTGGTAAGTTTCAAAATGCACGATGTTGGTGAATGTTTGAAAATTGTTGTGCATGTGAATCCTGATTGTAACCATGTTATTTGTGTTGTAATCTACTGCCCCTTGTGTCAAGATGGTCAGTGCTTTATATTTTTCAACATCAATTCAGTTCCCACATAGGTTTACAAAGACACAAGCACAAATCATGAACATCATCTCCTTAACTGAAGAGGTGCCCTGATCAGAAATGTTAGGATTCAGAAGCTCTCTTGCTTGTGTGATTTATTCAGGGATAATGATAACAGTTTATTGGGAGCCTAATTGGCTACAATCATTCTTTCCCTATGACCTGAGAATGCTAAAATTCATTACAACCTATTGAATATTTCCCTAATTGTAAGGCAAAGAAGCTAACTGTAAAACATAGAAAGTTCTAGAACTGTTGACTTTAGTGTCCCTGATGATCTCCAGTTCTTGCAGTCGCCATTGATTTCAGAACACCTCTATTGTATTTATGCTCCTGCTCAAGAGGTACAAACATTGCTATAGAGGAACAAGTGGACCATGACCATTCCTTTGGGCTGCATCTATCCTGGACCTCCTCTAGAAGCAGCCCCAAGAGGAAATCCTAATGACATTTCAGGAGGATGGATCTAAAGTGAATCCGGAGGTTGATAAGCAGCCCCTCCAAATGACAAGGAATGAGCTGCAATCTCTGATAATTTATGAAAATGTGACTCATGGATATCATAATGGTACAGATAAATGAAATTTTCAAAAATTATTGCTGGCACCAAGTAATTTACATGTACAATGCCAACCACAGCCAACTTATGATTAGGTAGATGGTTACCAACATTCTGCTTTCCTGACTGGGTCTATTTGGTCCAAAGTGTCAAGAGGAAAACCACCAGATAGTCTAGCAAGAAAAGGCTTTTGTCTTAAACAAAGTATAATTTATTACATGAAAGTGATCAGATTCAAGTACATGAGTAAGATAGACATAGTTGCTCAGATGCAAGGATAACAGATCCCAAGGTACATTGCCTTTCCCCACCCAGCTCCTTATGGAATCATCAGATGTGTGGAACTTAATGTAGCGTTCAGCGTTTACCCTTTCAGACATTATCTTTTACAACATCACCCACCCCCCTATTGAAGAAATCTTTTCCCTTAAATTTTACATTTATGCACAAATACATAGATATATCACATTATACTGATGTCTCCACGGTGGCTCAGTGGTTAGCACTGCTGCCTCACAATGCCAGGGACCTGGGTTCAATTCCACCCTTGGGTGACTGTCTGTGTGGAGTTTGCATGTTTTCACCATGTCTGCGTGGGTTTTCCCAGGTGCTCCGGTTTCCTCCCAAAGTCCAAAAATGTGTAGGTTAAGTGGATTGGCAATGCTAAATTGCCCATAGTGCCTGGGCATGTGTAGATTAGGGGGTTAGCCATGGGAAATGCAGGGTTACAGGAATGTGGTAGCGGGGAGTGGGTCTGGATGGTATGCTGTTTGGAGGTTCGGTGTGGACTTGATGAGCTGAATGACCTGCTTCCATGCTGTAGAGATTCTGTGATAGGATGAAACCTTTCCCCTTAGTAGAGGGTCAAGAATGAACCAGCACATTTTAATTGCATTTACCAATACCCCATCTCTCTCCGTCTGACTTGACAAATTGAGGGTTCATGATTCTTCTAGAATGTGTTCTCTTTGGACTGGGAGTATTGGTAGGTCTTTAGCTTGAAGTTTGTTGCTCTACATTATTAACATTTTTGTTTGAGTAACTATTTGACCTGCTGTTGCTCTTCTGAAAGCAGTCCTTTGGTTTGCATATACTATAACATTCTTCTTTAATAGCTGGACACTGTTCATGTTCTCTGAGACTTTTTTGACCTATGCGCTGTCTCTGGCTTCGCTGTGCACTGTCTCTGGTCTTACTGTTCTCTCTCCAGTCTCAATCATGGAGTCGTGGAGAGAGGTCTCCAGTGCAGAAAAGGTCCTTCAGCTCCTGCGCTGGTCAAAATCACCTGACTATTCTAATCCTATTTTCTTTCACCATCTCATAGCCTTGTATACCTTGACAATGCAAGTGCATAACGAAATCCTTCTTATATGTTATGAGGGTTTCTGCCTCTACCACCCTTACAAGCAGTGAGTTCCAAATTCCCACCACGGTCTGAGTGAAAACATTTTTTCTCACATCTCTTCTAAACCTTCTGCCCCTTCCCTTAAATCTATGCCCCAGTCATTGATCCCTCCATCTAGGGGAGAAGCTTCTTCCTGTCTATGCACCTCATAATTTTGTACATCTCAATCATCCTCCTTCACATTCTCCTGAATAATATAGGCATTCCATGGTTTACAGGCTATTTCAGAAAGAAAGCCTGTGAGAAGGAAAAAATGTTTAACAGCGTCATAAGTTCTTGGTGGATTGATGGTCTTTTAAACAACAAGGGAGTCTGGAGTTAATTTGAACAGTATTAAGCTGTGGCCAACGAGCCAAGGTTCAGCTCATTACATGTAATTATGAAAATTGAATTGATCAGGACAGCAAACCCCAGGTAAGAATGTAAAACAGTACAACATAGGAACAAGGCCTTCAGCACACCATGTCTGTACCGACCATGATGCCATTCTAATCCCATCCCATCCTCCTGCAAAGATCTGTAACCCTTTATTTCCTTTCCTGTTCATGTTTTTGCCTAAATAGTTCTTAAACTTTGCTAATGTATCTGTTTCTAACCCATCCCTGGCAGCACGTTCCAGGTACCTACCACCTCTCTTCGCACATCTCCTCTAAACTAAAATCCTTATCACCTTAATCATATGCCCTGTGGTATTTGAAATTCTCCCCCTGCCCCCCGGCATAAAGACTCCAACTATCAACCCTCATGCCTTTCATAATTATATATACTTCTATCAGGTTGCCCCTCAGCCTCCAATGCTCTAGCGAAAACAATCCAAGTTTGTCCAACACAAGAACAAAAACAGAAGTTGCTGGAAAAGCTCAGAGGAAGGGTCACTGGACCCAAAACATTAACTCTGATTTTCTTCTTCACAGCTGCTGCCAGACCTGCTTAGCTTTTCCAACAACTTCTGCTTTTGTTCCTGATTTACAGTATCTACAATTCTTTCGGTTTTTACCAAATTTATCCAATCTCTCCTTGTAGCTAAAACACTCTAATCCAGGCAAAATCCTAATAAACCTCTTTTCTTGTCAAAAGCCTCCACATTCTTTCTATAGTGTGTTGACCAGAACCTCATACAATACTCCATATATGGCCTAACTGAAGTTTTGGACAACTGCAACATGACTTGCCAAAGCTTATACTCTATGGCCCAACCATTGAAAGCACGCATGTCATATAGAGATAGAAGGAACTGCCGAATGCTGGAGTTCTGAGATAACACAGTATGGAGCTGGAGGAACACAGCAGGCAAGGCAGCATTAGAGGAGCAGGAAAGCTGACGATTTGGGTCTGGACCCTTCTTCATGTCATTTACCTCCTTTACCACCTTATCCATTTGTGATGCGACTACAGGGAGCTATGGACTTGCATTTCATGATCTCTCTGTATAGCCATGCTCCTAAAGGACTGTCTTTCACTGTATACTTCCCTCTTGCATTTGACCTCCCAAAATGCATCAGCTCAGACCTGTCCGGTATAAACTCTGCCATTTCCCTCTCCACTTTCCAGTTGATCGATATCCTGCTGTATCCTTTGACAAACTTCCTCACTATCCACAACTCCACCAATTTTTATGTTGTCTGCGAACTTACTGATCAGACCACCTAAATTTTCATTCAAATCATTTATTTATGTTAAAAACAGTAGAGATCCCATTGTAAGCACCACTGGCCACAGAACTCCAGTCAGAAAAACATTCCTCCACAGCCCTCTGTCTGCTATGACCAAACCAGTTTTTTATCCAATGTACCAACTCATCCCTGATCCCATGTCACTTAATCTCCTGGACCAGTTACCATGTGGGACCTTCTCAAATATTTTACTAAAGTCCATGTAGACAACATCCACTGTCTTACCATCAATCATCTTTGTCACTTCCTCAAAAACCTCAATTACATTTGTGAGGCAAGACCTCCCCTGCACAAAGGCATGCTGACTATTCTTGGTAAGCCCATTCTTTTCCAAATGCAAGTAAGTTTGGAAAAATATTAAATCAAAAAGAAAGGAATACCATTTCTGTGTGGTAGGATAACAGTGGATCACAGAATCACCGAAGTGTTATAGTGCGGAAGGAAACTGCAGCTCATCCTACCTGCACGGGCTCATTAGATGAGTTTATTTTTATTTGATTTATTAGTGTCACATGTACTGAGATACAGTGAAAAGTATTGTTTCGCATGCTATCCAGGCAAATTATACCTTACATAAGTATATCATGGTAAGAGAACAGAATGTAGAATAAAGTGTTACAGCTACGGAGAAGACGCAGAGAAAGATAACTCTAATATTTGAGAGGTGCGTTCATGTCTGATGACAGTAGGGAAGGTGCTGTTCTTGAATCTATTGGAATGTGCTTTCAAACCTTTATTATCTGGTACCAGAATCCTGCTTTTTCCCTATATCCTTGAACATTATTTTTATAGAGTTAATCATCCAGTGCATTCTTGAATGCCTCCATTTATCCTACCTCCACCACACTGCCAAACATTGCATACCCTAAATACCCACTAAGTGAAGATCACCTTAAATCTATGCTCTCTTGTTCTTATTCCTTTAACGAGTGGAAACAGTTTCTCCCTATCTATTCTACCCAGCTGGCTCATGATTTTAGAACCCTCTATCTATCAGACTTCTGAGCTACCTTCCCTTCAAGAAGAACAGTTCCAACGTCTTCAATCTATCCTTATAACTGAAGTTTCTCTTTTTTTGGAACTATTTTTGTAAACTGCTTCTACACTCTGTTCAATCTGACTGGTCTGTGGTTGTTGGCTTAACCTTATAAGCTTTCTTGGATGATGAAGAAAAAGCTGAAGTTCTAAACTCGCAGTTTTAGAGCTTCAAGGGAGAAATTAGAACTCCTTGGTTTGAATCTGGGCCTTACAATCTTATAATCTTTCAGATTGGGTTCATAAAATGGATCTCCCATTATTCTTTAGAGAAGCTGCAGTGCCAGATACTAGTCAGAATACACATCATGTGCAGAAAGTTCAACACCAGCAGCACTCCCTTCATTACAAACAATTGTTTGCATGATACCAGTATCTCCCACTTGGCCAGGTCACTGGGCTAACACAAATGGTATATCAAGCCTAAACATTACCAAATATGAAGAGTTTCACAACTAGCAGCTTAAACTGTCTGTACCCCAATGATTTTCCTTTGAACATAGAACAGTACAGTACAGGCCCTTCGGCCCATGATGTTGTGCTGACTTATTATCCGATTAAGATCAATCTACCCTGCATAGCCTACATTTTACTATCTTCCATGTGCCTATCCAAGAGTCGCTTAAAAGTCTCTAAAGTGTCTGACTCCACTACCACTGCCAGCAGCGCATTCCACATGCCCACCACTCTGTGTACAAATAACAAAGAAAATTACAGCACAGGAACAGGCCCTTCAGCCCTCCAAGCCTGCGCCGATCCAGATCCTCTATCTAAACCTGTTGCCTATTTTCCAAGGATCTGTATCCCTCTGCTCCCTGCCCATTCTTGTATCTGTCTAGATACATCTTAAATGATGCTATCGTGCCCGCCTCTACCACCGCTGGCAACGCGTTCCAGGCACCCACCACCCTCTGCGTAAAGAACTTTCCACGCATATCTCCCTTAAACTTTTCCCCTCTCACCTTGAAATCGTGACCCCTAGTAATTGAGTCCCCCACTCTGGGGGAAAAAGCTACTTGCTATCCACCCTGTCTATACCTCTCATGATTCTGTGGACCTCAATCAGGTCCCCCCTCAACCTCCGTCTTTCTAATGTAAATAATCCTAATCTACTCAACCTCTCTTCATAGCTAGCGCCCTCCATACCAGGCAACATCCTGGTGAACCTCCTCTGCACCCTCTCCAAAGCATCCACATCCTTTTGGTAATGTGGCACCCAGAACTGTATGCAGTATTCCAAATGTGGTTGAACCAAAGTCCTATACAACTGTAACATGACCTGCCAACTCTTGTACCCAATACCCTACCCAATGAATGAAAGATTAATTAATTTTAATTAGGACTTCACTCAGGCAGCCATTTTCTAATCAAAATGTTGAGCCAATTCCACCCCAATATGCTTGGGTCCTTTTACTTCAATCAGTGGTAGCCAAACCAAATTCTTCTCATAAGAGACTGGAACCGAAGTTGTACCCATAATCTGTAGGAGTTGCCTGGTATAGGTTCTTAGCCTGGCTGAGGTCTTGCACAAACTTAAGGGTTGGAGTCCGGAGCGAATTTTGGTAAAGACTGGTTCTGCAATCACTGATACAGCATTCCAGTTTCAACCTCCGTTAGAACTGGGTAACCCATTTAACCAGAAGTTTGTTTTTAATTAGTTCTGATTTGCATGTGGCTAAGAATTTAACTGTTCCAAGCCAGCTATAGGTGGCCTTCCCAGGGTGTGCACCCTCCTGGATACTGGCCTATGAATTTTCTCACTCAAGTCAGGCCAAGTGGGACTATTATAATTAAAGAGCTCTATCAGATCATCGTTTTGCTTTCTTTCTATGAGAAAGAAGTGCTTAAGGCTGTACAGCCTGTCCTCTTAGATAATACCTCAGTTCTGGCATCATCCATTTAATTTTGTTTTGCATTGACGTTTTCTTCGAATTATGGAGACCAGGTTTGTGGATAAAGCAAGCTCATTACACAGACACTGAACTAAGAACAAACTAGTCAGGTTACTATAACTGAGACAACAAGGTGCAGGGCTGGATGAACACAGCAGGCCAAGCAGCATCATAGGAGCAGAGAGGCTGACGTTTCGGGCCTAGACCCTTCATCAGAAAAGGGGGAGGGGAAGGGGGTTTTGAAATAAATAGGGAGAGAGTGGGAGGCGGATAGAAGAGGGATAGAGGAGAGGATAGGTGGAGAGGAAACAAACAGGTCGAAGAGGCGGGGATGGAGCCAGTAAAGGTGAGTGTAGGTAGGGAGTTAGGAAGGGGATAGGTCAGTCCAGGGAGGACGGACAGGTCAAGGGGGCGGGATGAGGTTGGTCGGTAGGAGATGGAGGTGCGGCTTGAGGTGGGAGGAGGGGATAGGTGGGAGGAAGAACAGGTTAGGGAGGCAGGGACGAGCTGGACTGGTTTTGGGATGCGGTAGGGGGAGGGGAGATTTTGAAACTTGTGAAATCCACATTGATACCATTGGGCTGCAGGGTTCCCAAGCGGAATATGAGTTGCTGTTCCTGCAACCTTCGGGTGGCATCGTTGTGGCACTGCAGGAGGCCCAGGATGGACATGTCGTCTGAGGAATGGGAGGGGGAGTTGAAATGGTTCGCGACTGGGAGGTGCAGTTGTTTGTTGCGAACCGAGCGTAAGTGTTCTGCAAAGCGGTCCCCGAGTCTCCGCTTGGTTTCCCCGATGTAGAGGAAGCCACACCGGGTACAGCGGATGCAGTATACCACATTGGCAGATGTGCAGGTGAACATCTGCTTGATGTGGAAAGTCTTCTTGGGGCCTGGGATGGGGGTGAGGGAGGAGGTATGGGGGCAGGTGTAGCACTTCCTGCGGTTGCAGGGAAAAGTGCCGGGTGTGGTGGAGCTGGAGGGGAGTGTGGAGCGGACAAGGGAGTCACGGAGAGAGTTGTCCCTCCGGAAAGCAGATAAAGGTGGGGAGGGAAAGATGTCTTTGGTGGTGGGGTCGGATTGCAGATGGCGGAAGTGTCGGAGGATGATGCGTTGGATCCGGAGGTTGGTGGGGTGGTACGTGAGGACGAGGGGGATTCTTTTTTGGTTTTTATTGCGTGGACGGGGTGTGAGGGATGAGGTGCGGGAGATGTGGGAGACACGGTTGAGGGCGTTCTCGACCACCGAGGAGGGGAAGTTACGGTCCTTGAAAAACGAGGACAACTGAGATGTACGGGAGTGGAATGCCTCATCCTGGGAGCAGATGCGGCGGAGGCGAAGGAATTGGGAATAGGGGATGGCATTTTTGCAGGAAGGTGGGTGGGAGGAGGAGTATTCTAGGTAGCTGTGGGAGTCGGTGGGCTTGAAATGAATATCGGTTTCTAGGTGGTTGCCCGATATGGAGACAGAGAGGTCCAGGAAGGGGAGAGAGGTGTTAGAGATGGTCCAGGTAAATTTAAGGTTGGGGTGGAAGGTGTTACTGAAGTGTATGAACTGTTCGAGCTCCTCGTGGGAGCACGAGGCGGCGCCGATACAGTCATCAATGTAACGGAGGAAGAGGTGGGGTTTAGGGCCGGTGTAGGTACGGAAGAGGGATTGTTCCACGTAACCTACAAAGAGGCAGGCGTAGCTTGGGCCCATGCGGGTACCCATGGCTACCCCCTTTGTCTGTAGGAAGTGGGAGGAATTGAAAGAGAAGTTGTTGAGTGTGAGGACGAGTTCGGCTAAGCGGATGAGGGTGTCAGTGGAGGGGGACTGGTCGGGCCTGCGGGACAGGAAGAAGCGGAGGGCCTTAAGGCCATCTGCATGGGGAATGCAGGTGTAGAGGGACTGGACGTCCATGGTAAAGATGAGGTGTTGGGGACCGGGGAATTGGAAGTTCTGGAGGAGGTGGAGGGCGTGGGTGGTGTCACGGACATAGGTAGGTTACTATAACTACCAGTTTGATCATGTAATCCTGCATCCAAGGAAGATGGTTGTTTCAACTCTACAAGAGGTTTTTAAATATCTTATAATGACTCAACATTGTGAAATTGGAATAGTTTAACATTTTTTTAAAAGAGTGGCTACACTTTGCAAGTTCATGCAGAAGAAAATAGCAGCTGCTACACTGCGTGAAGATCAGGTCATTCTCTGTTGCATTTTCCCCTCTGTTTATAGCTTACAGGAGCTATCTGGTATTAAGATCATAAGTAGGAGCAGGAGTAGATCATTCTGCCCTTCAAGCCTGGTCAGCCATTTGATGAGATCATGGCTGATTTGACTGAGGCTGCATTTTCTAACAACAAAACCAGTTTAGTATCTGTTTGAAAACTGGTTGGACTTCAGCTAGTACGTGCCCTTTGCATGGCCACAGCATTAATCCCACATACTAAATAGTTTCTCAGCATCTCCCTTAAGGTTACACCAAAATCACATTCCTCTGCCAGTCGTCTTAACATCCTCAAAAATTCTCAAACAGATTCCCCTGATTCTTGAAGTGCTGAGTAAAACTGATAGTGTCTTTGAATTAGAGGAGGTTTGAGGTCTCCATATTCCTCAGCAAAATCCCTCAACTCTTGAAAGGTTTTAGATGCCAGAAATGCTTACCCCCAACTCAACAATGAATGTTGTGAGCAAATCTCTTCAGAGGTGTGTTTTCCTTTTGTCACCACCGAAATAACTCCAAGAAGTCTGGCATCCTGCCACCATCTCACCTTTTAATTACATGTGCATGGTATGTGATACTGACCCAGCTAGCTCAGAGCTGGCTCCTAGACTGAGCAGAACCTCTGACACCCCTGTTTATTTTTTTTGGCCAGCTAGCTCAGAGTCAGTCCCTGTAGTGACTAGTCTATCTCTGTCCCTTTTCATTGGATTAGCAGTCTTAGGCTAGTTTGTTAATGCAGTCATTATCATAGAATCATAGAAATCCTTGATGATCTTAATTATCTTGATGAAGCCTCAGTCCTCCCCCTCTGCTTGAGTAGTTTTGGAAATTGCTCTCCTTATTGACTGATTTGTTCAGAAAGGTCACTGCAAGCCACTGAATTTTTTTTTTCCATTATTAATTCTTGTGATTACTCTCCCTTTCTCCAGCAATCCTGTTTGCAATATCTGTCTTTGGACCTGCTTTTGGCTACTTACTAGGATCAGTGATGTTACGGTTATTTGTGGATCTGGACAAGGTGAACCCAGGTAAGAAGAATCCAATGAAAAGTTGTAGTGATTGGAACAAGGGCCAGGTGGATCTCTTTGACTATGAGATCGTTGATTGGGGCTATTAACCTGAAGCAATCAGGAAGCCCTGGCTGACAGAAATAAACAGGAGTGTCAGACATCCTGTTTACTCTGAGACCTGGCTCTGAGGAAGCTGGACCTGTGTGAAGTACAATGCATGTGTAAATAAAGGGTGACTTGGTGACAGGATACCGGCCACTGTGCAGTTGTTTCAAAAATGTCATGTGCATAACAGGAGAAAGAAACAAACCCAAGGCTTCTGTACTTTTGGTTTATGTGATAATAGCCTTAATTATATTGTGCTTTCGAAAAAAAATTGTTGCTTTGTCGGTTGAAATCTAATACAAAATACTCCTTTAGGAAGTAATAAATCTACATGTTTCATCTATTTCTGCACTCTTAATTATTAATACAAAAACAGGTACTCAGGTAAATGAAGCCTACGTTACCAGACTTGACATAATGCTGAGCTGCTCCCAAATTGCGAAATATTAAAATCCTTCCAGTTTTTTGAATATCAAACTAAAGAGGTTTAAAACAAAAACAAATTTGCTGGAAAAGCTCAGCAGGTCTGGCAGCATCTGTGAAGAAAAAAACGAGAATTAACGTTTTGGGTCCGGTGACCCTTCCTCAGAACTGGACCAAGATAGACCAAAGGTACAGAAGCCTTGGGTTTGTTTCTTTCTCCTGTAATGCAGTTTTGAAACAATTGCAAAGTGGCCAGTATCCTGTCACCAAGTCACCCTTTATTTACATAAGCATTGTACTTCACAGGACCTGAAACATTAACTCTTGTTTTTAACATCAGCCAGAAAGTGAGACCCAGGAAGGAAGAGAACATTAATCCTAGTTGAGTAAACAATGAAATTAAGGCAAGTGCTGCAGATGTTGAAATCTGAAATAAAAAAAAATGCTGGAGAGAAACAGTACATTTTGAGTCCAATATCACTGCTCTTCAAAACAGTTGAGTACCTGGGGAGGGAGTAGTGTAGTGGTAATGTCATTGGTAGGCCAGAGCCTCCTGGCGGTGGCGATGAGGCCTGGAGCCTGGACTCCTGGCAGCAGCAGCACCAGAGCCAGCGTCTCCTGGGGCAACGGTGTCATCGTTGCTGTTCCTGGAGTAGGACTCCTTGAGGTATGGAACATAACACCATCCCAGCATGCTGAAACTTTGTTTTAGACTCCAGTTTGAATAGAAGATGAACTCTTGTTTAAGTAATTTGTTTTTGTCCTTATTTTAACTCAAATGGTGCTGGATTGTGATGACAAAACACCTTTCAGTGTATCTTCAAGATATATGTGACAGTAAATCATTCATTCATACTCAGGCTAATGGTCTGAAAACAAAGGTTAAAATCCCATCATGACATACAGTGAAACTTGAATTCAATAAAAAAATTGAAGTAAAACATTAGACTAATGGTGAGCATGTAATCAGTGATCTGGTTCACAAATCTCCTTCAGGGAAAGAAATCCACTGCGCTTATCCAGTCTGGTCTATATGAGAAAGCAGACCCACAGAAATCGGGTTGACATTCAGGGCAGAAATATAACAATACAGTAGACAAATGCATAGCTCAAGATTTAGAGCAGGAGGAAAGGTTTTAGCTTCCAGATCACTGAGATGATTTTTGATGTAAGTGGGGTCTCTACAAGTGGGTCAGTCTGCACTTGAACCAGAATGGGACCAAGCTCCTTATGGATGGGTTTCATCATGCTATTGGGAGGAATTTAAACTACTTCAGCAGGAGGAGGGGACACAGAGTGTTAGTACAAGAGGGGCACAGCATACTTTAATCATTGAAACAATGGAGAAGAAGTTCAGCCTCATTGAAATTCAGGGTTATAGAGTTATAGAGATCTACATTGCAGAATAAGGCCCTTTGGTCCATTGTCCTTGACTGGCACAGATGTAATCACCTCACTATTCTAATCCCATTTTCCAGCACTTGGACCGTAGCCTTGTTTGTCTTGGCATCGCAAATGTACATCTAAATACTGCTTAAATGTTATAAGGGTTTCTGCCTCTATCACCCTCAATAGGCAGTGAGCTCCAGATACCTACAATCCTCCAGGAGAAAAAGTTTTTCCTCACATCTCCTGTAAACCTTCTGTCCCATGCCTTAAATCTATACACCTTGGTCATTGATCACTTCGTCAAAGCAAAAATTTTCTTCCTGTCTACTCTTTCTATGCTTCTAATAATTTTACACATCACAATCATGTCCACTTTCAATCTCATCTGTTCTAAGGAAAACAATTCCAGTCTGCCCAGTCTGTCTTCAAAACTTAAACTCTCCAGCCCAGGTGGCATCCTAGTAAATCTCCTCTGTATGCTCTCCACTGCAATCACATCCTTCCTATAATGTGGATTCCAGATCTGTACTCAATTCTGTAGCTGTAGCCTTATCAATGTTTCACACAGTTCCATCATCACCTCCCTGCTATTGAACTCTGTGCCTTGACTATTAAAAGCAACTATCACACCTGCATTCTTAACCACGTTATCCATCTGTCCTGATACCTTAAGAGACCAGTGTGCATGCACACCAAGGACCTCTAATGCTTGGTGTTTCCCATGGTCCTATATGTATTCTTTTGCCTTGTTTGTCTGGCCTAGTCCATCACCTCACATTTATCTGGATTGCATTTCATTTACCACCAATCAGCCCATGTGTCCAGCCCCTCTATATCCTCCTGTAATCTCAGGCTGTCCTCTTCACTATTTATCATTCCACCATTTTTTGTGTCATCTGCAAATTTCTGATCAATCCTCCTACATTCAAGTCCCAATCATTTATATAAAGCACAAACAGTAAGAGCCCCAACACTGACCTCTGTATGATCCCACTGGTCACAGACTTCCAGTCAGACAAGTACTCTTTGGCCATCACCCTCTGCTTCCTGCCACTTAGCCAGTTGTGGATTCAATTTACAAATTTTCTTGGATCCTAAGGTCTGTTACCTTTGTTAACAGTTTCCCATGTGGGACCTTATCAAAAGCCTTGCTGAAGTCCAAGTGGACTGCATTAAAAGCATTGCTGTCATCTACACACCTGTTCTTCTCTTCGAAAAATTCAATCATGTTGGTCAGACTTGACCTCCCCTTATTGGGGTAACATTACGGCTCAGTGGTTAGTATTGTTGCCTCACAGCACCAGGGGCCTAGATTTGATTCCAGCCTTGGGTGTCTGTCTGTGTGAAGTTTGCACATTCTCCCTGTATCTGCGTGGTTTCCTCTGGGTGCTCCTGTTTTCCCCTCACAGTCCAAAGATGTGCAGGTTAGATGGATTGGCCATGCTAAATTGCCCACAGTGTACAGGGATTTGCAAGCTAGGGGGACTAGCCATGGGAAATGCAAGATTACAGGGATCGGGTAGGTCTGTGTGGGATACTCTTCAGAGGGGTGGTGATGGGCTGACAGGCCTGTTTCCATGCTGTAGAGATTCTATTCTATTCTAACAAAACCATGCTGACTGTCCTTAATTCATCCCTGCCTCCCCAAGTGCAGATTAGTTTTGTGCCTTAGAATTGCTTTCAATAGTTTCTCTACCACTAAGTTTAGACTGACTAGCCTGTAGATTCCTAGTTTATGTTTGCTTCCTCCCTGAATAATCCCACATTGGTTGTCCTCCAGTCCTCTGGCACCTCTGCTATTTCTTCCCTTGCCTCACTCAACAACCTGAGATACTTTTCATCCAGCCCTGGAGATTTATCTACTTGTAAGTCTGCCAGACCTCTTCTCTGTCTATGCTAATTTCTTTATTTGTATCACAGACCTTCTCGCTGATTTCTATATTCATATCATCCCTCTCACTATTGATCACGGAACCATTTAGAGCTGTACCTGTATCCTCATATCATGCACAAATTATTGCTGTGGTCATTAATGAGCCTTAGTTTTCCCTTTACCCTTAATGTACCTGTAAAACAACTTAGGGGTTTCCTTTTGTTTTACCTGCCAGTATCCTTTCACTTACCTTAAAGCTCTCCTAATCTCCTTTTTAACTTACATCTTGCATATTCTATCCTGCTGTATGGTAGGACCCTGGGTAGTATTGTAGAACAGATACCTAGGGGTTCAGGCACATAATTCTTTGAAATTTGCATCAATGTAGACAGGATGGTTATGAAGCTGTTTAGCACGGTTGTTTTCTTTGCTCAGAGCTTTGAGTATAGGAGTTGAGATGTCATGTTGACGTTGTATAGGACATTGGTGAGGCCTCTTTTGGTTACTGTGTACAGTTTTGGTCGCCCTGCTCTAGGAAGGATTTTGTTAAAAAAGATTTACCAGGATGTTGCCGAGAATGAAGAGTTTGAGTTATAAAGGTAGGCTGGGACTTTTTTCAATGGAACATAGGTTGATGGGGGACCTTATAGAGGTTTATAAAATCAAAAAGAGGCATAGCTAAGGTGAATAGCAAGGGTCTTTTCTCTAGGGTGGGGGAGTTCAAAACTGGACAGCATCTTTTAAAGTGAGAGAAGAAAGATTTAAAAAGCACATGAGGGGCAGCTTTTATACATGAAGAGTGGTTCATATGTGGAATGAACTGCCAGAGGAACTGGTGCATGCAGATACAGTTACAACATTTGGAAAAGACGTTTGGAAAAGTATATGAATAGGAATAGTTTGGAGGGGTATGGGCCAAACATAGGCAAGTGGGACTAGTTTGGTTTGGGAACATGGTTGGCGTGGACTAGTTGGTTCTGAAGTTCTGTTTCCATGTTATATGACTTTATGACTCTATGACTATATTGTTTTGAGCCCTCAACATTTGCCATAAGCCTCCCTTTTTCTGTTCATCCAATGCTATATATCCCTTAATACCCAGTGTCCGCAGGATTTGATGGTCCCATTCATTTCCTTCATTGGAACATGTTGGCTTTGTGCTCTCATATTTCCTTCTTGAATGCATTCCACTGTTCTGAGACAGATTTACCTGAAAGTATCTGCTCCC